TAAGCTCTCAGCTCAAGTCTCTGGTAACTTGAGTGAGACAGGAAACGTGTAACAAAAAAGCCTGCCTTGTCTGTGTTCAAACAAGTAGTCGAGATCTCTAGGTATCAGGTATAGGGTCACTAAATACAGAATATGTGTGCTTCCTTCCTGTTATCTTAGAAATCAGTACAGCCTCTACTGGGGCTCCAGAGGAGAAGAAAAATGTAGACAAGGATACAAACACATGGGCAAATTGTTTAAAAGAAAAATGTACACGCCTATGGTGTTGTCTTCCCCTTAACACAGATGTTGAGATAGCCTGTAGAGGGATGACAATAAAAAAAGAAATGAGTGTCTTATGTGAAATAATCTAAAGACCTTCTGGCTGTGTCTCTCTATCTTAGTAAGATCATTTCTATGTTTCTGCAGGACAATCAGCTCCTGGAAAGCCGGAAATAATGAGGTGTCGCTCTCCAGAAAAGGAAACTTTTACTTGCTGGTGGAAGCCTGGCTCAGATGGAGGACTTCCGACCAACTACACTCTGAGCTACTACAAGGAAGGGTAAGAAGCTGTGAATAATTATTCTGTAGCTATTGCCTTACTCTATTTGTATGTACCGAGTTTGTTTGCTTTTAATTGTCAGGTAAAGAAAAAATAATTTCAGATCTTTGTATTATGAAGCAGTACTAACAATGTCACTTTTTTATGCAGCCAGGTTTCTGTTTCAAGATGCTTTGCTTTGAAAAATGCTCTGGCACCACAAGGACCCAAGGAGAGTTTGTGGTACAGATTTTGGCTCTAGGGCCAAAGGGATCCCAAGAGACTGAACTACCCAGAATGACCTGTTTGAATGATTGCCATCTCTTTCACAGGCAATGGTGGGATGAAGTCGCACAAAATAGATTTCCCTGCAATGCTGTAGCTGTGCTCTAACCCTGGGTACCAGAGTCAAGATCCAAAAATTCATTAATAAAACTCTGTTCAGTATTTTGTTAACTGTGTGAGGTGAGCTAATTGTGGCTCAACCCAGCACTGCTCAGTTTTCGGCCCAGAGCTAACTGGAGAGCAGAGTCATTGAGGAAAGGGACAGTTACAGATCCACTCGTTGAGGATCAGAGCATGGTGCCTATGTGGACATCCTCCTGTTTCACAGGGGAACCCTAGAAATTGGTACATGTTTTAGAAATGAGCTGAGCCAGGAGAGGGGAATAGCGATAAATGGCATTTTGGTGACATGGAAAGCAGCAAAAACTGAATTATTGAGGCGCATGTGTTAAAAATGCTGAAGTAAACTTCGGGCATGGGGGAAAGATACACAAAGCACATTTTGATAGTATCTCACAGCGACTAAATTAATTTGGAGGGTAAAATGAGCATTTGGGGTGCTCATTTGTAACGCTTTGCAAAATTGTCATTTGCTTCATTTACAAATTTGTAATTTGTTTAATTTTTAAGCAAGTTGCCTAGCCTGCTGCCTTCTGCAGGTAGTTTTTGCTCCCTGAGGTGCTCCTCAGCCTGTCTTGCCACATAAAACACAGTCTTTAAGCAACCAACAAGGAAACAAATGAAAAAAGCCAGACTTGTCCCAGGCAGTAGGAGGGGAGCCTTGGGGTGCTGGCCCCAGCACAGCACCCTTGCCCCTCCTTGTAGCAAGCTGCTGTGCTCACAACTTGCTGCTGCTTCTTTTGCTTACTCTTCTGGGAGCTTTTAAAGCTCCTCGCAGGACAATCCCTGCCTATCCAAATGTCCTGCGGCTGGGCTTTCTCAACAGAGCTTCCTGTTCTTTCTTAAAAGGAGAGATCACCCTGTTGCAGGCCCCCTTCAATCTGCTATTCCAAAGAGGCAGGAGCCAGGAAGTAGGAATCACTTTGCTGCTTCTCTGAAAGGAAATACTATAGCTGCAAGCCAGATAACCCTTACTCTAGCTGGATACCACCAGAGCTGATTGACTGCACCATCTTGGGGCAATGGTGTGCAAATCATCTCCATGTTTAGGGCCAGCTGTACTTTCTTGAATTCCAGAGGATAAACCTTGCCTTATGGCCTGGAAGCAGCTCTCCAAGCCATCTTGCCATCTCCCAGAGCATGAATGGACAGAACCTGGTCCTCAGTGGCACTGGTAATAAGAAAAAGTAAAATTCACGTATTTTGTGTGATATCCTTGGTTTATTTGATTTCAGAGAAGAACTCATCAATGAATGTCCAGATTACAGAACTGCTGGCCCCAATTCCTGCTACTTTGATAAAAAGCACACCTCACTCTGGACAATATATAATATCACTGTAAAGGCAACCAACAGGATGGGAAGTAGCATTTCTGATCCTCATTATGTGGATGTGACTTATATAGGTAAGAGACAAAGATTTTTTTAAAAATGGAGCTAAAGCTATAAATCCAGAGTTCGTGACTTTGGGATTCAGAGTTCTGGTCCCGGTCCATCTACAAAAATATACTTTATACAATGTGACATCAAAGTTAAAACCATTGAAAAATATATAAAGCTGTGCGGAATTGCATTGACTTTAAATCGATGACATACAGTTACAGTCCCTGTAGTCCTTTGAACAGTTTTAGGTTACTTCTATTTGTTGTTACCCTAAACATCACAGAAGTGAAAAACACAACAGTTACTGGTGTATAACAGATTTTAAACTTTATTAGGAAATGTTAGCAATTTAGGGTTATTTTACATGGCTTTGTCAAGTTGGGCGAGAGTATAGGATCCTGCACATGGGTAGCATTTTCTAATAATAATTTCCTGACTTTTTTTGCCTGAGATGGATAACTGAGCGCACACATGAATATTTCAAGGGGAAGGAGTGGTTTAAGAGTCCATCTCTATTGGTAATTTTTTTTCCTGTTTGCCAGTAGTAGTGTAACTCAATTATCCTAGCAAAACCATATGTACAACTGTACACAAGGCTCAGGCATTTTTACCAAAATGTCATAAATACTTCCTTGGTGCAGGTTTTTGTCAGACTGGTAAAAATACCTAAGCTTTGTCTGTGTATACTGGCTGTTTGAACTGATGTGGCTGTAATGCTGCTGACTGTGGCTGGAATATGGGTTCAATTTCTCTAAATTTAAATAAACCCACAATATTGTCACTGGTCACCAACTCATGCCTGTTAATTCTACATACTGTTTGTTCACTTGGGAATGCTCTCTTGTATTCTCTGATGTTGATGTGGGAGAAGTGATTATGTAAACATGACACCTACTTAGTTATCAAAATCTGCTTATTTTGCACATTCAGAGATATGTCTTCTGACTGTCATGGTAAAAGGATCATGACCTTCATAATAAAAAAAAAGCAACAAAAAAACCCCCAGAGCACAAAAATGAACTTGAAGGAACTAGACAAATTGGAGGTGGCAACTAAGTGTAAAATGTTGCCAAATCAGAATTTGCTCTATCCATTTATACCACTGATGGCATTTTGTACGTGCTGATGGCATTTAACACCCACACTTGACAAGTAACAAGGAAAAAGGAATTCAGACCCTCCACTTCTGATCTCATTTTTACAGTGCAACCAGACCCTCCTATGAACGTGATCCCAGCAGTAGGAATACAAGATGGAAAACCGTATCTGCTTGTGAAATGGTCTCCCCCTCCATTGGCTGATGTCAGATCGGGTTGGCTTACTCTTATATATGAGTTGCGACTAAAAACAGAAGGGGAAGAGTGGGAGGTAAAGCAATCCCAAACATGTGTGTGCATGCGCGTGCTCTGGTCAACGAGATTGTTATATAGCATACGCCATCAATAATACAGCCCTTCCCAAAATGAATTCTTGGTTGCTCTGTAAGAGGATCATAGTATTTTCCTGCAGAAGAAATGGCAATAATGTTTCAGGTGCCTCTGTGTGGTAACTGGAAGCCAAATATTTAATGGTGGTGATTTTGAACATTGACTGCTTCTTATCCATTTCAAATAGTCATTTCCTGCTTAACTAGGATGTAGCCCTATGTTTGAGGGGTAGGGAATGTTATGTACCATAGTAATCTAGTCCAAATCCTGGACGTTATACTAATAAAAATGATTAATTTAGGTAAAATAAGTTCTATCTGTGCAAGGAATTGCTAGAAAATTGTTGCCAAGCCATATAGCAATGACACAGTATGCGCAAGCTTTTGCCTTTCCATGTCATTAAATCTGGAAATGGTTTGTGTGGAATTCCCAGCTCACAATTTTTCCTGTTGCTTTTACTACTTACGGGCATCTCTCCAAGTTTCCTCAGCTTTGTAGACTTCTCAGCTTTCTCTCTTCTCAACAGCTTTGCTTCTCTCTCTGCTTGTGCAAATCTCCTTGGACCTCTCGGCCCTTTCATCATTCATGTTTCCAAAATTCCCAGTTGAAAACTTCAATATCAAAGTTCCCCAGGTGTTGAGAGGGTGCTGCTTTCTTGCTAACTCCTTCTTGGATGCTGTTTTTAGTAGCCACCGTTCAAAATAAAACTAGGAGAAAGCAGAGGGTCTACCCCCGGGGAATGTCTGCTCCAGAGCTAGAATTCATTCTCATGGTAATCTCTTATAACGCTGAGAAGTGGCTATTTAAAGAGACCTTTATTCTGTTCCCATATTGCAATTCCTAATGTTGCTATCTAGTTGCAGTAATATTTATTCTACAAGCTCATTCCTTTGTTGTCAAATTTCAAGTAATCTATTACTCTCAGAGCAAAATGCCTCATGTTTATATGAGTTTTTTGTCTTTTTTATTTGTTTCCAGACTTTTTTAGTTGGACAACAAACACAATATAAGATATTTAGTTTAAATCCCGGAAATAAGTACATAGTACAGGTTCATTGCAAACCAGACCATCATGGAGCCTGGAGTGAATGGAGCCAAGAAAAGTATATTCAGCTTCCCAGTGGTGAGTGACTGGACATCACCTTTTTTTTTTTTAATAAGTGCTTTTAGTATTTTGTTAGCTGTGCAGCCTGAAGGTCTGAAGTGCTGCATTACCTATAGGACAGATAAAAACAATCCAAAGGTAACTGATCTGCCAGGTTCCCTATATGGCCTGCACACTTTCCTTCAGTTTGATAGTAAGCAGGTGATTCGTTTTCCTTACCCATTGAAAACTTGGTCACTCTGCTGACAAGGGTGCTATTCAGTGAGCTTCAGGGTGGAGATTTTTGATGGATGGATACTTGTCCACTGAGAACTGCACTAAGACTTGCTTGGACAAAAAATGGCCGTTACCCTTGGAAGGATGACATCTCTTAGACACAGCCTCCCTGGATTGCATTTGACCTGGTGGCCTAAAAATAAAGATGTTTTGTGTACCATTAGAAAGTCTAAAAGCCATATAGCTCATATTACCCCGCCTTCTCATTTCATTAATGATTTGATACATAATTTGAATGTGAAACACCTTAAATACTGACAGAAGCAGTTTTAGACCTGGCATAGATTCTTCCCTTGGTTTCTGTCCTCTGTTGCTGTTTCTAATTGTGGTACAGTTTCCCTGCTCGGGTATGTTTCAGTCTTGCATAGTTCTTCTCACAGGGATTTTATTTCCTGCACTTTGCCTTGAGGACAAGAACAGATTAAATATCAAGCACCAATATGCAATGTTAGATCAGCATGTCCTAGAGATGACTTCAAACCACAAGCCTTGAGTTTGCGTTTATAGACATTTTAAAGATTGGAGACATTTACAAACTTCTGAACACTCCCATCTTGATTTGTTAGGCTGCATATAATTGAAGTATTCCTGTTTATTCTTGCTAGACTTCAGAATGAAGGATCTAATCATATGGATCTTTGTGGGCCTATTGTCATCTGTCATTTGTTTAATCATGATCTGGATGATGGTTTTAAAAGGCTATAGGTAAGTCACCACTCAAGGTTTTGTCTGTGGTAGAAAGGCCCAGTTAAAAAACATTTAAAAATAAGCTTTTAATATGTCTTATATCACACTGTTTGGGTGGGGGGGCATTCCACATGTTAATTTTATTGTGTGATTGGACCTGTATGTAGCTTGTTGTGTGATGGAAACTTGTGGATTGTGTGCGGCCAGATGTGAAAGGGCCTGTCTTACTTTAGGGGAAAAAAGTGGTGCATGATCTGGCACTGCCATGACATGCTAGCTGGGGGAGCTGGTGAGCTGCTCCCCCAGTGAACACCTCCACCTCTGCCATGGCAGCCCCTGTTTCTGGAAGTCCTCATGGGCAGCTGAGCACAGAGCAAAGTACTCACTGGCTGTCTGGAGCGAGACTTACCACCTCTCCATCTCCCTTGCACTGGGACTGCAGAGCAGCAACACACCCAGTTCATTTTGTGCCCAAAGTTGTTGTTTGTTTGTTTGGGGTTTGTTTGGTGCCTTTTTTCCATGCTGTAAGCCAAGAATGGATCCAGAACTCCCCCACCACAGGCCCTGCCCCAGTTGCAGCAGGGAGTGGGGGTGGGAGGGGAAAAATGTCACCAGGGGAAAAATGTCATTCTGAGGCAGATGCATATAAGTTGTTGTGGGTTTGCTGTTTTTATCACAGGATAACTTGATTGATGGTACAGAAAGCTGCACAAAATGTGCTTTTTACCCATAACAATGAAAGGTCTGGAGAGGGCTCTAGAAACAGATCTAGAAAGCATAGGGCAGATCCTCCCCTGATGTAAAGGTCACTCTGAAGCTGTGCCTGGTGCACATCCAGGCCTGACCTCTCTGCTCAGTTTTTTTCAACTCCTTTGGCAAACATTACATTTGGAAGCATTGCTGCTTCTGCAGGAATAAGCAAGCTGCTGTTGTGGTTTTTACCTTTGTTTCTGTCTTGGTACCCACCGTACTGAGTGCCCAGCACAAGAGAAGTATGTTTGCTGGGTAGCTGCTGCAGCAAAGTACCAGAGGTGTTTTGTGCATGCTTTTCTGTAGTAACAGAATGTAAATCCAGCTGTTCCCACTGTGGTGATCCAGAGCTACGCTGCGGTCCAGAGTTATACTCTTACTTACAGCCATTGGGTAGGGTCAGGACCTGTCTTCTTCCAACCTTCCTGTCCCCTTGGGAGCACAATGGGGGATAGGGAAGAAGCCATCCCTTGGACTCTCCCCATATATGAATATTGCCATAGATGGATCTAGAATTTTTTAAAAGAGGGCAGCAGATAGTGCTCAGGCTGGCCCCCAGTGCTTAGTTAACCCCTGGGTTACTGCACAGTAATGCATCTGCACGTACATTACTGTGGAGTAATTAATTGGGCATAAATTTGATATTTGTATGATGCAGGTATCAGATTTACACTCAAGTTGACGTAAGTTGCCATATTTACTGCGCAGTACAGGTGTGCACATGCAGACACATGCCTGTACTGTGCTGTAATTTCAGCTACTACGCAGTAAATGCACACGTGGAGACGCTCAGTATTAATGCATTTGTTACATTTGATTAACTTTACCTCAGTGTTTGCAGGATTCTCTTTCCTGTGTAGATGTATAGCAGTGTAGATGCACTTAAGTTGTTCACTAAGCTCCAGCTAACTCAGTAAGCAACTCTGGGCTTTGAAAGTATCAAGTAATAAAGAAGGTAATAAATGCATTAGAAGTGTCTGAAACTTTAAGCTTATGCTATAGAAACAGGTTAATTATTGGAATGATAGGGCCTGTACTTATGCTGCTTATATTCTCTACTTTTGTTTTTCAGTATGGTATCCTGCATCCTGCCACCGGTTCCAGGGCCAAAGATAAAAGGCTTTGATACGCATCTGCTAGAGGTGGGTCCAGAGATGTCTACTTTGTCCAGTGTTTGCAATAATGAACCCAACGAAGTTGGCAATTGCACTTAACACAATAGCAAGCTTTAACCATAAGGAGAGGTATTATACCCATAATCAGCTTTAAGAATAAGTAAAACAGCCAAGCAGGCAAAACTGGGCCTTTAAGCTAGTGTCTGCATTAGGGTATGAGGGAGCTATGTACCAGCACCTCTTGCTCCTCAGAGACACTGTATGTGAGGCTGGTGCCAGCAGAAAGTCTGAGTAGCCCTTGCTAATTATTTGTATAGGATACAAATTGTTCTCACAATACTCCACTGTCCAGGGAGGGGGAGGTGGCTGGACCACAGTCCTGCTTCATTCTGTCCCTTGCCACCCCATTTGATAGCGTACTTCCATTGTCAGCACTAGATTCCCCTGTTTTTTATTTGTGAGTTGTGGGATTGTGTTTGGCCCCTGACCAGGGAGTGGGAGGTCCTTGTAGGTATTGAAAGATGTGCAGCAGTTCCCTGCTGTAACTCATGACGCTTCACAGGAAGTGCCATGAGTTACAGCAAGGCTTCCTCCCCAACCCAACAGGCATTCTGTGTTGGGTTGTTGGGAGAGACGACAGGGCGAGGGTTGAGGGATCAAGCTCCACTTTGGAGCCAGCTGCATGTCTACAGCCTCTCACCCCTAGCCCTCGCCCCTGCTGCTTAGCTCCAATGCTGTCTTCAGGATGGGAGGGGGAGAAGGGAAGGGAGGGAGCTTGGTCTGGGGTTTGCTCCAGCTTGCGTTGGAGGGGGGCACAGATGGATTGGAACCCCCCACCTCAGAGGTGCTCCAGTCCAACCTCCCTGGCTGGGCAAACCCCAGACCAAGCTGACTCCCCTCCCTTCTCCCCTCCCATCCGGAAGACAGCACCAGGGGCAGGGCTGGGCCGCATGAGCCCAGTCATGCTTCTGGGCAGGCACTGACAGAAGCTAATGAAGGCGCTCTGCTTTGTAGCACCTTCATCTGAATCTTCATATAATGAAGGCTCATTTGTTGCATGAATGGGCACTTTTAAAGCACTCTGCAGCCATGCACTTCTGTCAGGGCATGGCTGTAGAGCACTTTCAGGGGGCTGATCGCACAACAAGTCACTTTTGTCAGCACCTGGCATTCTGCCATTCTCTTGTTAGCCCTAGCAGTATCACTGCACCCATTAGTGTGACTACAGCTTTCAAACACTGAAATGTTTTCCCTGTGATGCAGTAAACTAATGGCAGTTGTCAATCAGTGGGGGAGAGAAATGTCAATAAAATATAAATCCTGAGCTTAGCAGTAAACGTGGCACCAATGTATATTATTGTTATCCCATCAGACAGGGAAATCAGAGGAATTACTGAGCGCTCTTGGTTGCCAGGGTTTCCCTCCAACATCAAACTCTCAGGACCTGCTGATAGAGTTCCTGGAGGTAGATGACAGCGAGGATCAGCAGCTCATGCCAAGTCATGACAAGGGTCATTCCAGTAAAAATATGAAGTTGGTGCACAAGGAAATGGACAGTGATTCAGGACGAGGGAGCTGCGACAGCCCTTCCCTGCTGTCTGAGAGGTGCAGGGAAGCCAGAATCCCTGCACCAGCATTTCAGACACCAAATATTGGTGAAATTCAAGAAAATTTTGCAAAAAATAACAGGTGGGAAATAGAGAGCACAAAGGTAGAAGGGAACATGCTCTGTTCTAACACTAGTAGTCCAAAATCATCGACGTGGCCTGGAGCTCAACTACTGAACAATCAGGCTCTGAAATTCTCCTGCCCCAACAGTGCAGATGACAATAAGAGGAACACTGGTTCTGTGAACAGGAATGTTGTGTCACTGTTAAGGGGAAATGAAGAAAAGCATCAATTGCAATATTCTAACACCATTGAAACTATCAGTTCGGAAAACATGGATAGACAGGAGGAAATGCAGAATTTGCATTCCAGTGCTGGGCAAGATGCTGTGCAGTTGCTGTCCAATGAGAAGTCACCTTTTTTGCCTGGTAAACTACTGGATTATGTAGAGGTTCACAAAGTCAACCATGATGGGGCACTTTCAGTATTACTGAAACACAAACAAAACAGTGACAAAACTGAAAAATATAATAACCCTGGAATAAGCAAAGAATATACAAAGGTCTCAAGAGTTGTGGACAGCAACCTTCTAGTACTGATACCAGATGCAAGAGTTCAGCCCACACCTGTGTTTCAAGAACCTCCCCAAGAACCTGCTCAGAGCCTTCAACAGGATCAAGCAGAGAAAAATATGAGCTATTGTCTTACAGCACCAATAGAGTGCAAAAATCAGACTGGTGGGCTAGACTACATGGATCCATCTTCTTTTATGTGTTCCTTTAACAAATTGAAAGTTTGATTCTTTTTCTTCAGGTAACACTACAGTGTAAATTAAATGCAATCAACATAAAATGGTCAAGTATGTGCTTTAGGATTACCCTCCTAAAGCCCAGTTGTAGCTTACCCCTTTTTATGCATCCTGGTCAATCAGTCAGGCTACTAGCTACTAACTGATTGTAAAGTAAATTTTATTCCATTTTCAGTTGTGATTTTTACATAGTTTTTTGTTAATAGGTAAGTACAGCAGAGCAAAAGCACATGACACAGCTTTGTACCAAATCTGTTCTAACAAGTGTGCTACAAAGAAAATGACAGGATTTTTAGGTTGAGCAGAATTCAACCTTAGATCAAGATTCCTGAAGTAGAATGGAAAGAAGTGGATGTAATGTGCCATGAAAAACTATATTGTTAACAAATGATTTGCACATCTATTGCTTGATTTAAAGCCAGCTAAATTTTGCAGTTCAACAAGATACAAAATGGTAGGAATTGATATGCCATAGTTGTCCTTGCAATTCCTTCTTGCTAATTAACTACTATCAAGTAATGTGATGGTACATACCACATACTTCTGGTTTTTTTAAGCTTTATGAATACTAGTTTCAGTTTGTCTTTGTATTTTTTTTAAATTCTTAAAATGAAAGCACTAGTTTTTCAAATGTTGAAATTTCATGTGTAAAAAATAATATATTTGAGGAATTTATTGCAAAGTAGTGAATCATTCTAAAGCTATTGTTCTGCTTCATTTTTGTATGTCAGATAATTGTGCACCACATCCACCTGTTAGTCAGATAAAGCCAAACAAAGTTTTGCATATATTGAAAGACAAAGCCCAGCAGGATGTGACCTGATACACTGCCTTACTGTACATAACAGAAAAGTCTACTTTAGTACAAGCCCATTTGTTTAACAGTATATTTTTAAAGACTATTTTTCTATAACAAGGTTAAAGTAAAACATTTTCTAACCTCCCAGTCCTATTTATCTACCTAATTTCACTGTTTCCTTCCGCTGAGGCAGAAGGAAAAATTCAGCGAAGCCACCATTTCTGTATGAAATACAATTTCTATATGAAATATGAAATGAGACTATAAAATATGAAGGATGTGACATAAGCCCTATTTCTAATATTAGTTGTTGTTGTTAAACTAGGCTGAATTGTAGGTTGTGTAGGCCAAACTGTCCTCTCCTCTGCTGGCCTGTTTGCTGCTCCAGTAGAATTTGCTGCATGATGCTGATCAGAGATAAGAATGAGGTCTCTTGCAGCCCTTGCACAAGGGCCAAAGCTGGACTTTTCCCAGAACCAGAGGGAAGTTTTAACGGTACATTTTCCAACACTGAACTGTCACTTTCTGAAGTCAGAGACATGACCTGAGGAGTCGGAGAGGGACTACCCAGTCAAAATGGAGATTAAGGCAAGGATTGAGGATTGGTCCATATACTTAGAGGCCATATCTACCCAAGATGCTTGCTGACTACGCAGCAGCTCATTACTACTGCACAGTAGACACAGCCAATGTGTGGCAGCTTCCCCCATTACAACCAGGGGCTCCTGATTTCACTGGTAACTGCAAGAGGAAGTGCCTGTAAGTACACCAAAATAGCTAGGCTTACTGGTGACCCTCCCTTCATGGAAGAAGTGATTTTATTTGCTAAAGGAAAATACAATGAAACCAAGATGTCACTTTTCCAATTAGATCACATACAGGAGACACCTACCGAACATTCACAGCCATCTTGGCCTGGTGGAGAAGGGAAGAGGGACAAACTGAGCATAGAGAACTGTGTTGTGCGAGTGGTAGGAAATATATTTGGAGTACATGAGCTCCCCTTCCTCTCAGACCGATCCTGAATGGCGTCATATTCTTCAGTGGGTAACCTCTGGTTTTGTTCACTGAGCCAGGCTTTTCCCAGTACAGTGTTGTATGCAGCATAGCCAACAGTCATGGCTTTCCAGGCCTGGGGAGTTGTGGAAAGCCACATATAATCTGGGCAGTAGAGTCCTTGCATAATAACTGTGGGCCAGGGAGAAGCCTGTTTATTGATCAGCCCTTCCATCTGTGTGACTTTCACAGTGGCAGGACTTCGGAGTGTGGTTAGTTTTTTTTTTCTTTTTTTCCAAAAGCCACTATTATGAAATACAGTATATAAGGTTTGTGTGTGTTTATGTTCATGGTTGTATGTAGAGTGAACACCCCTAAAATCTTTGATTCACTTTGGATAACAAGCTAATTTTATTGTAGAGTTTACAGTGTTTTCTGGGTAAGGGATTACCACAGTGAAAATATCAAGTTTGCAAAAGGAAAATTGAAATGTTTCTAAGGGGAGAGTGTGTGTGTATATGTGTGGTCTGAAAATACAAAATCTGTCTCTCAATGGGCTTCTTTTGCATTTTGATTTTCTAGCTGTGAATCTGGTAATTAGTTAGGATCAAACATGCTCTCCTTCTTTACACAAATAGCAGTTATCTGAGCCAATTTTTTTCCCCTATTACTAAGTAAATAGGGGCCAGACACTCAGCCCGGCTACAGGCCTTTTTTGTTTTGTCAGTTGTCAAAAAGTCTGAGGAACCATCCCCTATAGGATTTTCCTTGTGTAGTGGAAATCCCTGGGCATAGGCAATGCATGGGGGGGCACACGCCCCCCCTTAGATTGGCCACCGCCAGGTTCTGCAGGCGGTCGCTGCTTGCACCCACTCCCCCTTGCCACCAATGCAGGTGGCAGTGTCTGTGGGCAGTCCCTGCTTGCCGCTGACACCACTGGTGGCGGCTGTCGGCAGTCCTCACCTGCTGCCACCGACACTGTGTGCAGTCCCCGCTCACAACTTGCTGCCATGGTGCCCCCCAAGTCACAGGAGGCACCAGTCGTTCACGTCCCTGGGTGATTTATAGCTGAAAAGTTAGAGGGTGTAGACAGAGAAAAGATAGTGTCCAGAGCAGCAGTGTACACCACTTGTTCATGACACTCTCAATGTTTACTTAAGACCATAGGCAGCCAGGCACAACTTGGAGCAGTTGTTAGGCTGCTTTAAATAGCATTAGAGATTTGAGACAGTCCAGAGTCTGAGGATCAAGATTTAAACAACCTTTGGCTGCTCATACCTCTTCCTGTGAAGAGGTGGTTAGTTGTAAGTCAGGCAGAAGGCAGGGCAGGGTGGCACCTTAGAGACTAATTCAGGGGTGGGCAATTATTTTGGGCAGAGGGCCACTTAGTGAGTTTTGGCATGCTATCATAGGCCGCATGACAGGCAGCCCAGGGCAGAAAATATTAATTTTCTAAATTTTGTAAGGGCCTCGCAGGCCGGATAGAATGGCTTGGCAGGCCGCACCTGGCCCCCCAGACGCATTTTGCCCACCCCTGGACTAATTGGTTCAGCAAGGCATGAACTTTTTTGGGCAACAACCTATTTCATTCGATGTGATAGATCTAATGACGAGTCCTCACAACTGTTGCCTCTGAAAGCTCATGCCTCTCTGAATTAGTGTCTGTAGATGTGCTGCGAGGCTGCTCCGATGCACTGTAATTTCAGCACATCAGAGCGAACGTGGTAATTACTGTGTTCCAGCCAGCCTCCACGCCTTGTATATCAGTGTCCACGCACTTCAAAATGGCAGTGGGAACACTTAAACTAAAGCTCATTGAACGAGCTTTAGTTCAAGCACTCTCACCACCATTTTGAAACACAAGGACGCTGATACATGAGATGCTACGGGCACTTTAATTAGAGTAGCTCTCAGAGCTGCTCTAATTAAAGCGCCCCCCTGAGCACGTTTAAAAATGCCATAAGGTGCCACCCTGCCCTGCCTTCTGCTGTCTCGTCCTGTACTGAACTTGGCCAGGTGAGAGCATGTGGCCTATTATGATTTGCTGGGAGTAGCTTTACTTGAGTTCAGCATTCACTGCTAACTTAAAGCTCATGAGGTGATAGACGATAAATGACCAAATTCACAGTGTCTCAGTATCTTACTCTCACATGCAAGCTCCAAATGGTATTTTTTGCCTGTGAATACGGGTTTCAGGTCTATAAAAGAGGCCCTTTCAATGCTAATTGTTCAACTACAAAGGGAACCACAGCAGCTATTTCTTGCCATAAGCTGAGATAGAAGCTGTGGAAACTCTATAGCCTAGAGCAAGTCTAGAAGCATGTCCCCCAGTGAGCTGTCATGATCTTGAGGCTGGATTACTATGACTTTATGTAAGGATGGATGGATTCAGCCAAAATGAATAAGCTGCAGCCCTCCTGATTGCTCTGAACCATATCAACTTTTTGGTGGGGGATTGCTAGAGATTTATTATATGTTTTTCCAAGCAAACATCATTATTTAAATTCTGTGTGTGTATGCACATGCATGCACACATACACACTTCAATATTATTTTGCTTTTAAATAACAATTGTTTGTCCTTTGGGGTGCCTGTTTCTTCCAAAAATCAATGGAAGTTTTGCACAATAAAGTCCTGTGAATTTGGCCTTTTTTGTTTTAAAAGACATTTGTACACATTAAGTGGAGAATAAATAGTTGCTCTTTAAAATTAGTTTGAATATATGGATCTTCAAACATTCAAATATTTTATTTTCCCTGCTTTAAATAGGATTTTCATTTACAGCTGTTGAAGGGATATTTTTTCTTTTGGAATAAAATGAAATTTTATTACAGATATGTCAGGCTTCAGCAAAGTACAATAGCCTGGTAGAACAGGGTTTTGCCATCTCACCTGAAACACAGACTGACAGATGCATTACCTACCAAAATTCATCCCAACAAACTGAAAATAGCCCCCTTGCATTTAGATTTGTCACTTGGAAAAACAGTTCAACTAGGTTCCATGTTTCTTTTTATTATAGGTTTACAAATATGCCAAATAAATTATGTATCACTTTGTAATAAAAGGCCTAAAATTGTAAAAATAAAAGCTCCTCTGAAAAATACTAATTTATTTTATGAAATGCACAAAAATGATTTGTACACGTTGTTTAAATTAACTACCTCCACTTTGGGTTCGTGCTTGCTTTATAAATGAAAGATTCTACTTTTCTTCAGTATTGAACAAGATGATGCCTCAAGCTTTTAAATTTTCTAATTAGCCTGAGTTTTTTAGTAAAGATATATTTGATGTACAATACCACTACTTTCCGTGTTCTTCTCCTGGCTTCTAACCAGTTGTCTATGTGCTTTACTGAATTTGGGACATGTGCTCCTAAACTGCATGTTACATGAAACTCATGATCTAAAGAACTGTTTTTATGATGTTACATGACTGCAAACAGTTATTTAAATAAAAATGTAAGAATCTATCCATATACCGTCCTAATATGGCAGTGTGTATGTCTACAGAGCAAAATTGAAAAACTTCCTTGTAAGTATAATGAATTTCTGTTTGAAGCAGTGAATACTGTAGTGAATGCTTTAGGTCTCTGTCTAGATAGTTTTAAACTGAGATCTGCAGTGGCTTTGCATATCATTCACATGCTGGAAGTACAGAAAATGAATATGCAGACCTTGCTTTGTGGCCTTTTGGATATTATGCAGAGCTCCATTTTTTTTCAACCAGTAAATGTCATTTAAGTTAGCTTAAGAATTGCATAGGGAAACCAAAGTAACCTTGATTACTTCCTAGACAATGTAAATCCTCTGTAAAGCCATACAGTCCTATGAAATGAAGAATGTGTCATAGGATTAGGTTCCTTTTTCTCAAAGGAACTGCTGCCCTGTGTTTCTTTTTCTCCCTCTAAAAAGCATCTTACTGTTGCAAGTATATAAAAAACAATCTTGCCACTTCTAATTGCTTCTCTTTATGACACCCTGTCAGGAAGGCACCATCTGTGTTGCGCTGAAACCATTAAAAGGGGATATTAGGGACACATGGTGAGGTGTGAGAAATTACAAAAGCATTTTTAACTCCTGAACAGACTCAGGCCAGCCTATTGGGCAATTACCATTTTCCTCCTGTGTCAGTCATTTCCTCACCTGTGGAGTCAATTATCTGGCCAGTTTCTCAGGGTAGATGAGCTAAATTGGTGTTCACATTGATCAGACAAACCCAAGTATTTATCAGGGTGTGCTTTGAGACCTGGGGATATTTGAGTTGCTGCTAGTCTGAATTTCTGTCCACTTTCCATTTCTTTTCCACTCTGTGGAAATGGAGAGCAGTATCTCTCTTCTAACAGTGACCCTTCAACCTCCCAGCTCAGCTTCTTTCTGACTCTTTTTACTATGGAGATGGGCCAGATGAACTCCATTTTCCTTGACTAGGAGTAAGGCCCCTGGCAGACATTCCACTTAAGATGCAATTAACTTGTTAATTGTGCTGTAAATAGTAACCCTCCACACATTCAAGAAATTAATAGTAACCAGCCACAAAAAATATACTACAAAAGATGTGTCATATTTTTGTGGCTAGCTTCCATTGTGCCTTAAATTAAATGTGTGGCAGGGTGATGACAAACCAGAGCCAGTTCCAAGCTCCTGTGCAGCCCCATGGCTGGAACCAGCAATCAGCTGATTGTCAGTCCCAGTCCCAGGACCATACTGGAGTAGGCTCCAGATTCCTTTGTGGCCATAGGGCTGGAAACAATTGATTGCTGGGCCTGGCCTTGGGACCACTTGGGTTCACACTGGGTTGCAGGCACCCAGGGCAGAGGGAGTTCAGGATCGCAGTCTTGAGTGCTAGTAAGTAGGGATGTGCGAAGCTTAGGTAGCTGATTCAATTCCAAGGGGATTTGGCCCAATTTGGGGACTGAATCTCCTACTCTGAATGGAATCAGGAGACCAAGTAAAAGCTCCAAATTGATTTGAAGCATACAAATCGATTTGGAAAAGCTTTGGAAAAAGATTCAGCTGGTTTGGAGATTTGGCCATAGACTAAACAGGCAGCTGACAGCTGCCTCCAGCTGGTAAGTATGTTGGTGTTGGGGAAGTGGGGAGGGCAAGGGCATGAGGGAGGGAGGGATTGGGGCTGGGACAAGCTGCCTAACTGGGACGGGGGGAACGTTACTTGGGGAGGGGGGCAGAGGGGGCATGGGATGCAGACACGACAGCACTGGGAGCAGCGACTCTGCCCTGCTGCCGCTTGCCCAGCCAGGGCAGGGCTGGGGCAGAGCAGGGGTGGGATGTGGGCA